GTCACCATCTTTCCCTGGGAGATGGAAGGTGCATCAAAGCAAGAGAAAGCGTCAGTGACTATTTCTTCCCCTTCTGTCTTGGTTGAGTATTGTTTTGGCATCTGTATACACCCATTTTAATTAATTATTTAGTGTTTGTCTTGCAAGGCAGTTCTTGGCCTTGTGCAGGAGACTTTTTTTTTTTTTTTTTTTTTTTTTTTTTTTAGGGAAGAATCATTGTGAAATTAACATGGTGGTTAGTAAGCAAGGCATGCACGCAGTGTTGCAGCGTTTTCTTGTGAAAGGAAGACTCTAAATTCATTTCCAAAATGCCAGGAACAGCTCATTTGGGCCATTACTACTTGCCCTCTGACCTCTTTACAAGTTATACGTCACTCTGTGTTATTTGTCTCAGAGTAACGATTGGGTCCCACCCTGACAATTCTCCAACGAGTAACTGATTGAAATAGTTACCAATCAGGAAGGCAGGCTTCCCCCAGAACCTCAATCTTTCTCAGAGCAACCACTGTTTCAAACAGGTGTCAGGTCCTCCTGAGATCCAAAGTCAATCCAAATAAGGAAGATTTCTATAAAACTTGGTTGAAAGGCACTTTCTTTTACTTCAGTGTCTTATATTTGAGGTAGGGATAGAATGAGGAGAGGAGGAGGTTAAACCAGGGATGTTGGCACACAGCTATAGAGCTGTAATGACAGTTGCATGATTTTTTGGGGGAGTGCAAGGATGTCTCTGCGTCGAAATGCAATTTTCACAGGAAGATATGCACAGATCAGAGTATCACAGCCCCATAGAATCCGACAGTTTGATTAGGTGAATGTGTATGGAATTCACCAAGGCAGAGCTCCTTAATTTGGGATCCAGGATGTTTCCCAAAAATACAAACTCTTGGGACCAACTCCAGATCTTTTGAAACAATCTTCCGGAATGAGGCTGGGCTTGTGCCTTTAAGCGGGCTTTCTGGGTGATTCTTAAGCACACTAAAGTTTCAACCCACCAGAGACCTTCGTCAGTTTTACTCACTGATGTATTGTCTGAGTGCGTAGAACAGCAACTGGCACAGCTCAATAAATACCTGTTGCATGAGTGAAGACCTTCAGTGTTTGAGGCACTTGGAGGCTCCAATTATAGCTGTCTTCCACACCATCTAATCCACAATGCTGTCACAAAGCAAGTATAATGTCATATTTCAAAAGGGATCTTTCTAGCGAGGCTGTGGGGCACGGAAGTTCCCCCATCTCTGTCCAATAGTGTCAGCAAACTGTCCCCACCTTAACAGGTGCGCATATAGGTGCCTCCCTGCCTATACTTAACTGCAAAAGCTGTGACAGAATCATGCCTCATAACTTTGCATCTTTGAAAAATAAAAATGGAAAAAAGGGATTAGTAAAAACATTTAAGGCGTAAGTAGGACCCTAGAACCAGCATGTGAGTAAATATGTCTGCTCACCTCCCGAACTGAAGCTCGGCAAACTTCTTTTTTTTTTTTTTTTT